TTTGAATGGCGAAAGTCGATTGCTCGCCCAGGCCTGCGGTCGTGGTAACACTAGAAAGTCAACGGATTTGCGCAAAGCAAGCGTGAAAAGACGTAAATGCCCTGGGGACGGTGCTGAAGAACAGCTCTTTCAACATGCCAGGTGAATCAGCAAAACGGTGGCTCCTGCACCCACACTTCCAGCACCGTCGTTGCTAGACTTCGGTTAAATATTCTACCGGGCTCACGATTGGAAGGTGGTTGTAGTATGCCATTAAAGTGATATAGATCACACTAAAGTATGATATTGTAGTGAGGGGTTTTACAAAGCTACACTGTTAAAAAATTTGGGGTGAAACTCTGTGCCGGAGTCTTTATAGCGCCTAAAAATCCCCGATTGATTCACTGGAAAAAAAAAAAAAAAAAAACACATTGGATCGAGAGTCCAGACTCTTGAAAACATTGACAAGAAAAAATACCCTTGATTCAATTGGATTTTTGCTTGAATCAAAACGAAATCCGCTTAAATTAAGAGGCTTGGTTCTTGCTTTAAGCTAGATTATGATTGAATCAAGAGTACTTTTTCTTGACGATGTTTTTAAGAGTCTGGACTCTAGATCCAATGTGTTTTTTTTCCAGTGTATGTCACAAAATCGTGTTTCGATGCTTGATCCTTGTAGAATCAGCTAAAAATAATAAGATCTGTCTACACAGCAACTTTTTATGTTTAATATTAACCGAGAGATCGCGTTTTGAAAAATTCGATTTAAGACGTCATCCACCGCGTTAGTGACATCCTTGGTTTTTTCCACCTTGGTTTCAGCAGTCAGGGAGACACACGTTGGGGCTGGTTAGTGGTTACCTAACGTGAAACTTCACTGAAAGCATGGTGGAAGAAACAAAGGGTGTCACTACCGTGGTGGATGACATCATAAGCCGAATTTTTTAGAACGCGAAATCTCGTTTAATATTGAACGTAGAAAGTTGCTGTTTGGACAGATCTTACTATTTTCAGCTGATCTACAAGAATCATGCACCAAAACGATTCCAAGACCAGCGACCAGCGCAACTGACCTATTATAAAGGAGCAACACTCATCACCCTTTTTTCGCCTGTTGACCTATCTACTAGCTGGATAGTGAGCTTTGGAAGACGCACCTAATGAGACAATCACCAACATTTTTGCAAAACCTACTTTCTGTGTTGTGGTACCTGTAACTCAATCAAAATTTTTGTTGAAGGAAAATACATTCATAAAATACGTAATGCTGAAGGATGGATTTTTGAACTCCTCCCCTTCCGCGATACACAAAAAGGGTTTGTGACTATGCAATTTTACGTACTTGAAAGTCGAAATAGTTGTATCACAAGTTAAGCCCCATCCAACTTTTCTACTCGTGCATTGAAGTCCCTGAGATAGTAGATTAGAGACCAAGATCCCCTTCAATTTTGTGGCTATGCAATTATGCCTACTTGAAAGTCGGAAGAGTTGTATCAAATGTTACGCCCCATTCAACTTTTCTACTCGTGCGTTAAAGTCTCTGAGATAGTAGATTGGAAACCAAGTTCTCCTTCAGATTTGTAGCTATGCAATGTGACCTACCTGGAAGTCGTAATCAGCAGTCGCACGATACGTTGCTCTCATCAACCGCACTGGGGGAAAAAAAAACACATTGGATCTAAAGTCCAGACTCTTAAAAACATCGACAAGAAAAAATACTCTTGATTCAATCAGATTTAGGCTTAAATCAAGAACCAAGCCTCTTAATTTCAGCGGATTTCCTTTTGATTTAAGCTTAATTCTGATTGAATAAAGAGTATTTTTTCTTGTCAATGTTTTCAAGAGTCTGTACTCTAGATCCAATGTGTTTTTTTCCCAATGTATCTCGTTTAATATTGAACGTAGAAAGTTGCTGTTTGGACAGATCTTATTATTTTCAGCCGATCCACAAGAATCAAGCATCGAAACACGATTCTGTGACTAGCGCCGCAACTGCAGACCCATTTTGTGAGAGATCTGCACGTGTTAAATTTCGGGCGAGTGCGGCAACAGGAGGTTGCACCTGCGGGCCGTGCGGGCCGTTGCCACAGTCGGCCGAGATGCAGCTCATTACGGGGCCGGAATTTGAATGTAGTTCACTTTTGGTCGATGTAATCGCCCCCGCAAGACGCGACCCGACGCAACGCAACGCCTCGCCCTCCGCCGTGCGATGCGCCCGAGCCCGTGCCGAGATCCAATCAACAATATCACGTATGTATTTGTAGATACGTGCTGGCTCGCGGCTTTGCATATTCCCGCGTCCCGTAGGTTTTGCTGCGGGGCATTCCAGGAACTTTTCAATCTCATTCTTATCAGGATTTTTAGGCTAGTTTAGACTAGAGTCCCTTTATACTGAGAGTCAAGACAACACTCCCTCATGGAGTCACAAACGGGAATAAAGATTACACACATTGAACGTTTTTCGTAATCTTTGATCGGCCCATTCTCAAATTTCTTCCTCCGTTCCTTCTCTCATTCCGTTTGTTCCTTGCCAAACCCGTAATTCCCCGGTCCATTCCAGATTAAAATCTTTGCAATCGGTGAAAGTGTAATCCTTATTCCCGTTTGTGACACTGTGAAGGCCTAAAATACGGGAACCAATCAGAAATGGATTCACATTGTCTTGACTCTCAGTATAAAGGGACTCTAGTTTAGACGTTTCAAAATCCATAGCATTTAGCAGAAGGGTTCCAACAACCATCGAAGGGGGGATACCCTATTTGATACTGACATTTTGTTGATATCATTTGACTTTGTCTGTATCTTTCTGTTTATTGATGAAGAATACCAATACTAATTAGAATAATTAAACTTAACTATCTTATCAGTATATAAAAGTATTTTTGACTTCCAATAACCTCGGGGGGAGGGGAGGGGGTATAATCGTTTTGCGAGGATTTAGTTGGAACGTTCAGCACTTTCGTTTTCAAAAATCGCTTGATAAATCGAAGCTCTGCTTTCTATTTACTTGAAACACGATTTCCAACTTTCCGTAGCCGTGCGAAGGAAGAACGCCCTATCAGCCTTCAAACGTTGCCAAATTCCCTTCGACAAATCACGAAGTTTCGGGAAAATTTGTAAACACTTTTCCTCTGATTTTCCAGAAAATTTTCTTCATAACTTGATCAAAAGTCTCGAGGAGGCTCACCGAAAATAATTCATATTTCCTTCAAACAGGAAATTGGGCAACATTCGAATTATCATACGTCGTTTTTCCTTAAAATTAGCACGACAGACCTCCTGTCGAGATCTGATCCCGCCGGACTTCAACGCGCGAATCTCGACGCAGCCCAGCGGGCCGATTATTGAAAATTATAGACAAAGCTATAGACAAAGACGAAAAAATGGATTTGGAGGGATCCTATTGGTGGAAGCAGGGGGTGGCAATGGACATAGGAGATAGGCAATGGACTAACTAACAGCAACCCTTTAAAGACCCGACGGTTAGTCCATCATTTTCTTCCTTAGTCTATAAGAACCAACCATGTCAACCAATAGGATCGCTCCATACTCCCTATGTCTTCTTGTTCTATTGCTTTGTCCATCAGTTTCAATAATCGGTCCGTAGCTTAACAGATATCTTTCCGCGGCGGCCTTTGACTCAGAGGCGCGGCTCGAGCCCAGGCGCGATATAATTTATGACCGATGGCAAGGCGTGAATCATCGATTATCGATATTCCCCCATCTTAAACTATAGTCAAGAATCGACCTGTAGGTTACACCCTGATAATCGATCCTTTTCCATAGCTCTAGATGCCGGATCGATCGATGTATCGCAAAACTCGATGCGCCACCGTAATTTATGACCAATTAATATCGGAATCGCGGGTCCTGGCTAACGGGACCGTCGCGCGCGCTAACAAGCCGAGAGCTTCGCGCTCAGTCACTCGACGAGTCAGTGAGTCACTCAGTTAGTGTTTCGTCGCTCCTCTGATGAAGGAGCGTATCTCAATTTTCGCATGAGCCGTGTGTCTCGTAGAACTCTACGCTTGCCGGGGCTCATGTTGAAATAGATGTACATCATTACGTCAAAGACGCGACTAATACAGAAGGCACCGTGTCAGGTGAGTTGCTGAGGACACACTTTGAAGGGTGCTAATGACTGTGGGAGCACTTCCAGGCGAAAAATTCTGTGGGATAGGCCGGTTGGATAATGGTAAATATGCATAATGGAGTCGAGGAGACGGAGACTTTATCGAAATATCTGTCATTAGGGGGCCCGCCCTCTGGCCGCTGTGCGCCCCCAAAGGCCGCTCTATAGCGGCCAGCGAAATCGGCGAAATTGTCCGTTGGCGGTTAGTGAGCAAATCATTTTTTCAAAGAAAAATTTCCCACCAAACAGTATTCTTAATGACTTTCTCCTTACTCTGAATTTTGATTCCTCCTAAAAAAAAAAAAAAAATGCGACAAAAGTGAACTTTTCATTCTTGGAACGAACTTTCGTTCATGGAACCTGGCGCGAAAGTCAAGTTCCATAAACCTATCCCTGTGGACAAGGCCTTCCACTCGTAAGAAACGAACGAAAAAATTATGAAAGAGCAAACATAAATATGGTTAAATAATTTTAACTTCCACTGCCGCACCGCGCTGGCCGTACTGTGTTTGACGCAATGCGTGAAGTATCCATACAGTCTTATAGGCGCTATGCGATTTACGCTGATCGCACTGTGTTTGACGCAATGCGTGAAGTATCCATGCACTCTTGTAGGCGCTAATATGTGTTGCAAGCCGACCACCGCGCCGAAGGCTTCTCTTTTTCATCTCAAGTCCTCTTTATTATTGCTCTCTGCGCCGCCCCGTTTTCAGGCCGAATTGCGTGTTTGGTTTCTCTCTTAACTTGAATAATTAAAGGCACTGTCTCAATGGTGATATGAATCAATGCAAATTTTAAAAACGAAAAGTACCTAAGTTTGAGGGTATTCGTTCGTTTCAGAATGAGCCAGTTGCCAATTAAAATTGATTTTATGATTTTTTTTTCGCAGGTGAGACTGATTCGATAAATGAAGATGAAATCAAATCCAGGCAAAGGAGAGAATTCGGAGGTAAGTTATCGGTTAATTTTGTTTGGTTTTTAATGGTATTTAGTTATTCCATCAGAGGTTGATTTCCACCAGAGTTAAATCAATAATATTTATGGTAGAGAAATACTCGTTTCCCTTAATTCGCTGTGATAATCGAATTTTTATAGGTTTCCATAGACTTACATCTCGATCATTCATTTTAACATGCGAAGTTCAAAATTGTGAACATTCCGTTGAAAATAATTTCAAATATTCATGTTTTACCCTCAGAAAGATGAGATATTGGCCAAAAAACACACTTTTTAAAAACTTGGTCTCGAAGTCTTCTTTCTTTAACTATTGCAGTACGCACGGTTTTTAGTCAATAAATCAATTGATTCACTAGAATCTGAATTGAGCGATTCAAATCAATAATATCGAGAGGGAATCATATTGGCTACGTTATCATGTTTCAATTGAAGTGAGAAGAGTAGCTATGGAAACTTATCTACTTTAATAGTAAGTGTAAATGTGTAAAAATGTGTACAGATGAGATGAAAGAATGGTGTGAAAATTTCTTCCAAAAACTGTCCACGGTCTTCAAGATTTCATTTCCTCTATCCAAACTCTTTTACTTTGTCTCTCCAGATCACCCTTCTTTTGCTTAAAATATCTAAAATCCTTGTTCTAATCCCTCCTTGCTCGATTAATTTTCCTTTTCAATTCCTTCACCGCATTGTACAGGGAAAAGTTCGTTCCAATCAGGTAGGAAAGCCAATGAAGGTGCGCGATAAGAAGACCGCGTGATCCAAAAATTTTCCCTTATTTGGTTTTTTTTGTCTTTTTCTTACTGTTTTGTCTTCTGGCTCTGCCTCAGTCCTCCTAGGTTCATTGAAGCAACTTCAAAATAGGGAAAGAGCAGTTTAAAATATAGACGGTTTTCCATCCAATGCGCGTGGAACATACAATTATTTGTATCATTAAAGGTTTCGGTTAATTTGAAGATAATTAGGGAATGCCTATAAAATGCTAATCAACCTTACTATCACCTATGCTCGAAAGAGACGAATGTTGAAATTTCTCGTTTTCCATAAAATTTTGGATTTTAAGAGACGATTTTCCAAACTTCTTTATCAATTTATGTAGAGAATTTGTTAGTCCTTGCACATCATGCAAATCAAACTAACTGCTAAAATGAGTGAAGTAAAGACAATTTTTGGCATTGTCACGCATAGAAAAATGAGTACAACATCAATTTCGTTCACAAAAACCATAGGCCAAGTTCTCCTTCAATTTTGAGGCTATGCAATTTTACCTACTTGAAAGTCGAAATAGTTGTACCACATGTTACGCCCCATCCAACTTTTTTACTCCTGCGTTAAAGTTTCTGAGTCAGCGGATTTTTAGAGGCCGATTTTTACTTCAATTTTGTAGCAATGCAATATGAGCAACTTAAAATGGCATTGTCACGCATGGGAAAATGAGCACAATATCGATTTCGTCCACAAAGAATATCGGGGATTACGGGTATTTTCAAAGATGCGGACCAATACATCATATGTAAATAAAACAAGTTCGCTGCAATAGAAGACGGGAAGAGCATAAGAATTAAGAATCTGCTCGGTTGCCGCCTCCCAAGTGTTTTACTCAAGAGGCCAGGATAGGTGCACAAAAAGCGGAAGAATGTGAAAACTTGTGTCGATATCGTGTGCTATTTTGTAGGTTAACACGCTCTATTCAGCATCTCGCTGCTGGTCCTGGTGCTCTATCACGCCGCTCTGCGGTTACTTTACTCAATTATTTTCGGACAACAAACGAAACGCAAATAGTGGGTCACTTAACCATGAACGAATTTTGACTTGCGCATACATTTTTCTGAAGCTAAATGACGCTTAAAACATGATGCGCATACATTAATTTTTCGAAAAAGTAAGTCAGAAACCGAAAAATACGCAGTTTTAAAAGCGCAAAAAAGGGTTTGTGGCTATGCAATTTAACGTACTTGAACGTCGAAGTAGTTGTATCACAAGTTAAGTCCCATGCAACTTTTCTACTCCTGCGTTAAAGTCTCTGAGATAGTAGATTAGAGACCAAGATCCCCTTCCATTTTGTGGCTATGCAATTATGCCTACTTGAAATTCGAGATAGTTGTATCAAATGTTACGTCCCATGCAACTTTTCTACTCCTGCGTTAAAGTCTCTGAGGTAGTAGATTAGAGACCAAGATCCCTTTCAATTTTGTGGCTATGCAATTATGCCTACTTGAAAGTCGAAATAGTTGTATCAAATCTTACGCCCCATTCAACTTTCCTACTCGCGCGTGAAAGTTTCTGAGATAGTAGATTGGAGACCAAGTTCTCCTTCAGATTTGTAGCTATGCAGTTTTACCTACCTGGAAGTCGTAATCAACAGTCGCACACAAGTTGCTCTCATCAACCACCATCAGGCGAAAAAGACCGTTGACCTCCGGATTGAACGTTTGCCTCACCCGATTACATCGCACTGAGAAAAAAAACACATTGGATCTAGAGTTCAGACTCTTAAAAACATCGGAAAGAAAAAGTACTCTTGATTCAATCAGAATCTAGCTTAAATCAAGAACCAACCCTCTTAATTTTAGCGAATTTCGTTTTGATTCAAGCAAAAATCCGATTGAATCAAGAGTATTTCTTCTTGTCAATGTTTTCAAGAGTATGGACTCTAGATACAATGTGTTTTTTTTCCCAGTGCGCCTTGATTCAGCGCAGGATTTCTGTTTAAAGGGCATGAAACTTTTTTTTCGAGATCGGACAAATCCAACGCTCAGCCCCACCGCGCGACGATGAACCTGAAGATTTTCTGGGAGATGCGTGATAGATGCCGGTGCCCGGCGGACGGTGGGGGAAAATATCGAGGTGATGGAAACGTGAGGAATATTAATTCCAGGTGTGACTGGCGGGGCG